TAATTTTTTTAAGTGACAATACTTTCAAGTTGGGTAACTTTGAATTTCCATGTAACTTTAAATAAAACTGGGGCCCTACTCTCGTAGCACGAAATTCGTAGTTACGGCCGTTTTCGCACTACGGATGACCTACAGGGTGTCTACTCCTATTCTCCGTTCTTTCTTTTCTTTCTCTTCTTTTCTTTCCGTTCTTTCTTCTATTCTTTCAAATAAGTAATACTCGACCAAATCATAACACAATGTCAAGTATGAAGCTTCATTCGCATCACGCGTCTTTTCATTTGGTAGAGTATTAGTTATTTGACAGTTATTGTTTCAGTGTTTTCCTGTCATCAGTTATCCTGACATAGTATGTAGTATTTTATTTCATAAATGAATGTCTTGCACCAATTGGTAGCACCTAGAAGCATTTGGAAACTATTTAAAACTAGTTTGCGTCTACTTTTTTATCGATCCCTTGGTCTAATAATGCCACAATGTGATTCTATGTCAAAATTACTTCTAACGCATGACATCCTCCGTTTAAATTAGAACGACATATGTCAAACTTCCTAAACCAGTGATGGGACACATCAGCGAAATCGAAAATCGATATTGAAATATCTCTACTAAACTATTACGTATTGTAATCAGTATTGTAATCATGGCAATTCTTGAAATCAACTCATAGTCATGGCAAATACGTGTGGCGCCACCAAACTTTAGAAATGTGTTACTTAAATTCATAACCTCATAAATCCGTGATTTTGAAACCACCAAAAATACACAATTTAACAGAAAATAACATCCTAGCGCAAAACAATACGAGTAATTTACAATAAATTAAAATCATTCCAGTAGATACTATTTAAAAAATAACGAAGAGTTAATTGACTCTGTCTTTTTCACATGTTCCATCACAAACTTTTTGACGTAACTTCATCATGTGAAATTGTGAAAATCAACATTAATTAGTGTACCTAATTAACTCAAAAACTGATTTCTGAATATCAATGACCGTATGTTAATGAATGGGTAACGTAAGTATCATCATCATGTGGTGCCTCTCCACTACTGGAGGCTGGCCGTCAGCTTAGAGAACTCTTCCATGTCCTGAGCCAAGCGAAACGGATTTTCTACGCTGGCAATATTGGTCCATTCCCGGATGTTGCGCAACCACGATTTCTTCCTTCTTCCAATACGTCGTTTACCCTCCATCTTGCCCATCATGAATAGTTGGAGAAGTCGGTACTTTTCATGCCGTAGAACGTGTCCAAGATACGCAACTTTCCTTTTCTTGACGGTCTGCAAGAGTTCTCGATCCCTCCCAACGCGCTGAAGAACTGTACGCCTAATGCGTAGCATTCTACTACATCTCGAAGGCCTCGAGGTGCTTCTGGGTGTCGGCTTTTAAAGTCCAAGCCTCGCTACCGTACAACACTACAGGCCAGACGTAGCAGTAGAGCAACCTCACTCGGAGCTTTATTGATAGTTTCCATATTCTTCAATGTAGCTCGAGCAATTTCTATTCGGGTTCGAATCTTTTGTTCGCACTCCTATTCTTCATTCACCCAAGCTCTAAGGTATGTGTACATCCGCACTCGCTCAAGACTTAACGTAAACATATAAAAGAATTATTGTTCTGTCGTATTGAATAATAATAATAATAAAAAAAGAAATTGAAAAAAGTATAATTTGCAGGACGCCGCTACAAATTTATGTCGCCTTGATTTTGTCGAGCTTGTCATTCTAATGAAGCTAATTAGAACGGAGTATAGTGGGAGTACACATAAGACAAATTATGTATATGTGAAATTTGATAATTCTCATATTTAAACCTAGGGGCGCCTTCAAATTAGATGCTTATAGCAGAAATCAGAAATCAGAAACATTTATTGTATGAATTGTTAAAATACAGGTGTTACTTACAAGTGATTAGATCTACAATTCTTACCCAAATCAGGCGTACAATGTCTTAAAATTACAATTCAATTAAAATTTATTACAACTTAAATGTCAAAAATTGAAATTATAATTAAGTTAGTTATACAATTGTCAAATATTTGATGTCTTTATATAAAATTCGTTAAGCTTGTTGCTCTTAACCTTGTTTAAAAAAATGGTTACATTTTTTAAAAAAAGCTTTAAATTTATCACCATTTAAACATTTCATTTCCATTGGAAGTCTGTTATAAATTCTAATCGCTGTTACATAGGTGCTGCGGTCAAAGATCGTGCTGTTTATTTTAAGGAGGACAAGACGGTCCTTGTTTCTGACGTTAACGGAGTGTATATTAGATATTTTAGTAAAGAAGTTACTGTGATTACGTACAAAAAGACATATTTCCAAAATATATATTCCTGTTAAAGTCAGGAAACCATTTTCTTCGTACAGATTTCTTAGAGAATAATCACTGGGTTTACGTTTGATTATGCGTAAGCATCGTTTTTGTATTGTGAATATTTTAACCACATTGACAGAGTTTCCCCAAAAAATTACACCATACATTAATAATGGGTATACGTTCCCGTAATATGTGTTTTTTGCAACTTCAACCGACGCTACATCGACCGATACAGATAAAGCGTAGCAATAACTACCAAGTTGTTATTTAGCACATCTATGTGATGTTTCCAATTTAAATGTTTATCTATAGTAATACCAAGAAATTTAGTATCGTTTACCTCATCAATAACGTCATTTTCATAAGTTATGTGCATATCTAAGTATTTTTTTTTGTAATGACCAAACTGCATATATTTTGTTTTAGAATTATTTATTTTTAAATTTAGTGATTTAAGCCAGGTAATAGCAGGGCAGTGCTGCAGAGGTGGGTCTGTGGCGCATCAGCCGCCCCACCTCTAATTTTCATACAATATATATGAAGCAATCGCAGAGGTGAAGTAAACGTACACGCAGCTGCCATACCACAGTCGCACTCCATATGTCGCAGAGTCGCAGTCCATACTGCAGCGCTTCTACAGGGTGACAGGTTGAACGAGATAAATGTTGCGAGAGGCGAATGTGTAGCTGATACCCATACCGAATATGTAAAAAAACACTACCTTATTATTAAATAATTTTCACTAAGGAAAATACTGCCTCTAATATTTTGTAATAAGAGTATTACACGCGAGTTACCGCGTCAATCGAACATACAGCGAGTGCTCGCTACCCTCACCGGCCTATGCCCACGGTTTCCCACGCGTTTAGCACCCCCGCCCCCGCTTGTTGAAGCGCTGGCCACCCGCTACCGCCCGGTTACTTCGCTTGCGCTCTTGTGTTAGACGGGACGGCGCGTATTTGTTTCGACTAGTTTTGAGTGGTATATCGGTATATTCACTGTGTAGCTTGTGTAGTGCAGTGACGTGGGGCATGATTCGGTGTTACGTTATGGTTTGTTATGCAAATGATGGTATTAGTCGTGCTGGGAACATGTACCGCGAAATGTTCCTTAGTTGGCGTGCTCCAACCTGCACATTGATGTTAGGACTCAATTTTGTCTGTCCCAAGCAAGGATCAAGGTACGAAGGGAAAATTGAATTATTTTAAATAGTGCTGTTTAAGTAGGAAGGCTTCACATGCGCTGGTAGCGCGGGAGTACAATTTCCTAGCGCTCAGCTGTTTCGTAGAGTAGCCCAAATGAAGAGAGATTTTTTTTCTTATTTGTGATATTTTTATGTTTAGAGGCGATTTTTTTTACATTATTCGGATTGTATATCAGTATTCGTCGTTGTATAATCGTCTAATTCTTGGGAAAGAGCAAAAATGACCATCGACACTCGGCACCTTTTGCATGATCACTTCACAGTGCCACAGAGACTGAGGAGCCGGAAAAGTTTTGTTAAATGTGTCGATCCTATGAGCATTGAGCTGGCTCAGGCGAGGTGCAACCTTTGACGCGACAGACTACCATCTACGTTTGTCCCGCCTTCTGAGAGTCTCCCTCCTGGACATGAATTGCCATAGCCGATCTGGACGTCTTTGAATAGGCTTCGAACTCAGGTTGGTTGGAGCAAGGACAATTTCTAACCTGGACTGCTTGTGCGGTGCGACTCAAACGATGGCCCACCTCATATCGTGGCTTGCGTGCCCTAATACCTGCACGCTTGAGGATTTAATGGCAGCTACTGGTGACGCGGTCGACGTGGCTGAGTTCTGGGCCACAATAGTATAATGTATGTCATCGATACGATCAGAAGAAGAAGAAGAAGAAGAAGCGTCTAATTTGGAATTTCCCAAAACATTTATTGAATAATTTAATTCGTAAAATCATTTAAGTCTATATCCAGAAAAGTTCTCACTTTGTTAACATGGCCTTATTATACATAAGGTGCGATTCTATTCCACTCTAGCCAAATTTGATGTAGAAAAGTGTGAAGGAACAAAAACATTATAATTTTTGCGATTTAGACCTCTGACTGTTTTACAGTTACCACAATTTCAATATTTTTCCCCGATATTAGCTTAATCTAATCTTGAAGTTAAGTCCGTGATGAATTTTGTCATTTAGAACTTAAAAATCACTAGTAAGTTATTTCAAACCAACATAAAATTACCAGTCAATATTATTTATAAAACGTATCACCCTTAATGACCCTTAATTATTTTTTTATTTCAAGGGAGAGATTGCAAACATTTATAATTCGAGTAGTAATTCAAGTTTAGAATCGGAAATTGATGCTGATTGAGATATGTAATATATATACAAAAAATTAAATCATACAATTTTCTTTCTTTTTACCTACCATTATCTAGCAGTAGGTATTAATAAGTATCAAAACCTTAATTGTTTTATTTATAAGTCAAACAACTTTATACGCTAGTAAGTATTGCTTCTACATAACCAAATTATATACTTACCTATTTAAATTTCACTGACACGAACAGGCTGTGGTAGAGCTAACCTAAATAATAAGCATGAACAAAAAATGTTCTTTACACCTGCCATCATTGGTTGTCAACGACGTTTTGTCATTAAACATTCTATATCGAATTTGGCGAGAGTTATAGAAAGACTATGTACCTATTTATTTATCTATTGTAGCTTTCTTACCATATATAGACCTGTACTGGAATGCAAAACACAAGTATTCCTTTCCAGTATTCCCATGTTGATTATGATGGAGAGTATCTGAAAATATAGTTCATACAGTTTCAGTAGGGTTAGCACGACAGGGTGCGACAGCGCGAGAGTGACATAAAGTGCGGCATAGAGATATTCGCGCTTAATGTCGCTCTCGCGTAAGCCGCTTCTTGCGTCTCGGCGATATGAATCAAGCCTTTCAAAGAACAAGCGCGGGCGCGGCGGCGGGCGCGGTGCGCGGGTCTTGGCGTCTCCAATAGATCTAATCGCGCGGGTAGATATTGGCTCGGTCTGCCCGGACCTTTCACAGTGCTTGGTCTAGCGTCTGTTTGCGATTTCAAAGTGTGGATTTACTCGTAGCCGCTTCGGCACTGTGAAAGGGAAGACGCCAAGACCCGCGCGCCCACATCCGCCGCCGCGCCCGCGCCTGCACTTTGAAAGAGCCTAACAAAGCAAGGAGGAGCACTATGTACTTATAATTTTGTTTCGATGTCTCATTTTCTTTTTTTTTCTTTAATCAGTTTGACTTGTAAGAGCTTTGGTACTGTATACATTGTACTGTAAGCTTTTAATAAATAAACAATGTGTGTAGCTCTCAAACGGATGGACAGATTTGATAGAGCGTTTTTTTTGTTTGAAGTTTAATAAAATGGATAGAGTTTTAACTATGTTGGATAAACTTCTGTTCAGCTGTTTAAGAACCATAAGGTCTTTCCCGGTTAGTTGTAGGGATCTCAGTCATATGAATATTTATTTTACTTGCGCTAGTCCAAACACTGAAACCTTAAATGGTGTAACAAAAGAATTTGTGACGTATTTTCGGACAAATTAAACAAAGTAGGGTGATTTGTCACTAGTTAAAAACACAATTTACAGAATGTTGTTTGTTCATAAACCTTTCGTCGAATAATTTACTTGATATTCGACAAAATTATGTAAATTATATTTACTACGGCATAGCAAAAAAAAAAAACTTGCAATATTCTCGTCTACAAAAATCAATTTTTTAACCGACTTCAAAAAAGTTTCTCGATTCTATTTTTTTGGACATATGTGTTAAGCGATTACTTACTATGACATTTTGTGAACCGATTTCGATGGTTCTTTTTTGTTAAGGCTGGTTTTTGGTTATAGTTATTAAAATTTCTTATTTAAAACTTACATATAAAACAATGGAGAAGGAAACTATAATTTGTGCGATGTTATAAAGCAAGATAATGTTTTTTAGGTTGTACGGTTGTTTGTCCTTCATGTATAATGGGCCAAGTTTAAGGACGAAGAAGAGGTACGAGATTATAATTAATAATATGGGCCATGGTGAGCTCATTAAGGGCCATTCGTCCACGAAGTCCCCTGAAAATTGAAATAACATTAGTGGTATGTTAATGGTATTCCACTAAAGATCATATTCTCAGTCGGAAGTAGTGTTGGGTACTTGACAATTCAAACACGAAAGGTGTCTAGTCGTCGCCTAAGTATAGACATACTACCTCAAATGGCTTTGGTTGATCCCGCATAGTAGTGAGTGCAGAATCAATAACTTTGGAAAAAATATATAGTACAATTGAGGATATGCACTGATTAGTACATGGTATGAAAACAAGATTCCTAAACATTTTCACGCTAAAAAACAAACAAACTTACCTCGAAATTTTACAAGAAAACCGCTGTGTTCAAATAAAGTAACTAACTACTTTACATAATAATTTTGTGAAAAAAATTATCGTGTTTGTGTGTGTGTGTGTGTGTGTGTGT